AAGCGTTAACAATTCCCTGGAACCAGGCTCGTGTCCCCTCCCTGGCTGCCAGTACCAGCCAGGAGGGACACGGATCTAATAAACATGTGGTTGCATTCAGTCTCCCCAGGACCCTGTCCACATCTTCAGGAGCAACAGAGTCAAACTCCTCCCATACAACCGTCTCAAGACCTGCTCCCGTCTCCTCCCCCTGGACCAAATTTTACATAGAAACCATGAAAACTAATTAAAGGTTGTGGTTCTAATTCCATCAAAATTATAGGCATGTTATATTTTGTGGAATAGAACAGCGGTCCCCAACCTTTCTGGCTTGGTGGCCCAGGAAGGGAGGGGATGGTTCTGTGTGAGTGGCAGGTGTGAGTGCGCACAGCTCCGTTTGCCCAAACGGGTGTGTGTGCCCACCACTCACACAAATGGAGCTTCAGGCATGAGTATCCGCTGCTCATACAGCCTGGTTCCGAACGGACCAAGGCCCGGTGGTAGGTCACAGCCCAGGGATTGGGGACCCCTAGAGTAGAATATACTTTTAAATAATCCAGTTTAATTAAAATGTTAAGAACAAGCAAAAATAAGTGTCTAAAATATGTACATTTGAGCTGTAATTTAATAGATAGTACATAATGTACTCTGAGGCCTTTTTTTTCATTTTTATTTATATTTTCATTAGAAAGTTGGTATCGGGCTTCGTGACAACTTATTCCCTTTAGTTACCTGTGTTGAAATAAAAATCTAAAATTGGCCTTAGAAATAAGATTCAATGACCCAGTGAAAACAAAAAAAAATCTTAAATTAACCTTAGTAGAAGTAAGATGCAATATTCATATGAAAAACTTCGCCTTTTTGTTTCCTTTAAAGATTTTGCTAATCATGCATCAGAATTTGATCTGCTATACAGCGATGAAGAAGGACCATCAGTATTTGAAACAGGACATTTTCAGAAAGGCTCTCAAAAGCGGACACATTTTCTTAATTTTAATAGGTGGGTGATCAATGGCAATCTTTGTCCCCCCCCCCCAAAAAAAAAACCCCTAATGTGTACTGTTTTCATGCATGTTTTAGGTTTCCTTCCCTACTGAATAAGATTTATTCATTGCTTTGTGTTCCTTGATCAGTATTAAAATTTAAAAGAAGGGTATTATTTTGCACAGCTTTTGGATGAACTTGTACATAAATATATGAATTAGAACAATGAAAAGCAGAGTGAGAAAGGGGTATTTACTGATGCTATCACAGATTAATTTTTAGGGAGAAAAGATGGAGATATTTAACTTTGTATTTTTGGTATGCATACGGGTAATTTAAAAAAAAACTATACAGGTCTCCTATGCTTACAGTTTCTGTGATAGCTTAGTTGTTGAAGCACTACATATATCTATATATGAATGAGCTGAAATACTTTATTACATCCTTTACTGTTTTGATTTAAAAATGGGATTCGGATATTTAAAATTTGTTAAATAAAAATAATTACTTGAAGTTTCAGGTTGATCTTGGATCTTACATGATCGAAAAGCTAATATTTGAGTTGAGTTAGGAGCTCCTTGTTTTCTTGTTTTCTTTTAATAGAAATGCTTATCACCAACCAACATCTTGCCGACCAAGACTCTTAATTAGTGGGAAGCCAGAACGTGGACAAGCTTCTCATTTGGCTCCAGCAGTCATACATGCTTTAGAAAAGTTTCCTGTTTATACACTAGACCTTTCTATTCTCTTTGGTGTCAGTTCCAAAACCCCTGAAGAAACATGTGCACAGGTATTTTATTGTCTTTTACCATTTAGTTTTTAAGAAGTTTTGGCTCCAATTGCCTTAGTAAGGCAAGGACTACCTGTAAACATTTTCCCTATTTCTACAGAGAATATCAATCCTGGAAACGGATGCTACCTCTCTTCCAGTGGTTACCAAGTTAAATTTCCAGGAAGTAGAAATTCCTTCTTCCTGGAAATTTCAGTATGAACAGATTGGAGAACAGAGTTTGCTTCTGCTAACTTTTTAGTAGTTCTGCCTGCAACCTTAAGAGGGCAGAGGCTGGAGAATTTCTTACATGCCAGAGTCTTTTGTCACATTAGGGTCATTTTTGACTGTAATCCAGACAATGTCCATGTCTTGTAACTTGTCCAGTCTGTTTTGCAAAACATTATCTGATTTCAAGTGGAAATTTAAATTCCAAAATACATGGTAATCTTCCACTGAATAGTTCAAAACAAAGATTCGTTTCCATCTTTCAAGCTTGTTATTTTCAAACAACCACTAGCAGTCTGTGTTCCAAGACAGGATATGGATCAGATTTGTCAAGTCTAGCTGGCAAACCAAAATAAGTGAGAACTACCCTGATTTGAGAAAGGTATCTTTAATGTTAGCCACGAGTAAAAGCATAATCTTGAAAACTCAGTGTAAGTTCCTATTACAGGCTTAATTGACTCACTATAAAGCCAAGTCTTTTTACAATGTTTCATTTCCATAGTTCTACTTCTGGACTCCTCTCTTACCTTCTTCCACAATCTTTCATGCATTTAAAAACTTGATTTTATCAACGGAAGCCGTCATAATTGGCTATTTCACAAACTTGTGGAATACAAGTATAGTTTAAAATATGATCTGTTCAATGACTAGGTAATTACTAAAGTGGACAACTGCGTTGATTTATTGATTAAAACGTCTTCTTTGTCTAGTTGATCTGTGAAGCTAAGAGAACAGCGCCAAGTATAATATACATTCCAAATATTCATATATGGTGGGGAACGGTTGGACACACATTGCAAGCAACATTTAAAACACTGTTACAGAACATTCCATCCTTTGCTCCCATTTTTCTTCTTGCAACATCAGATACACGTTATGAAGTTCTGCCAGATGAGGTATGTGCAATTTGTTCATAGGATAATCCATTGTACCTTATTGTAACTGATTTTGTCTTTATTTAGCAGCACAGTCAAGCTTAGGATAAAGAATTTTTTTTAAAAAATCCCTCCTAATTCACATCTTGGTTTTTTTTTAAGAGAATGTTTTTCTTTTTAAAAAAGTGTGTGTATACACACACATTCCTGCCTCATACTTCAGCGTTGCTTGCTTATCAAAAACTCTGTTGTTGAATTACTCTAAATGTTTTCCCATTATTGTATTTTTATTGCTCTCTTTATTTTTGTCAGACTTTCTGCATGAAGCATTAGTAGTTCAATAGTTCTAGAATTTTGCCCTCCCTACAGATACAGTAACTTCAGTTACCCTTTGATTTTTTTTATACATTATTTCTCTTGTTGATTTGTTTCCATGATGTAATCTTTTTTAGGTAAAGGAATTATTTGCTGGTGGTTTTGGAGAGGTTTTTGATGTTCACTTGCCTAATTTTGAAGAAAGAAGGAAATTCTTTGAAAGTTTAATTCTCCATCAAGCAGTTAAATCACCGGTATCCAAAAAGAAAGCAGGTAGATGTGCTGCGAATACGTTGGATAAAGTTTATTGTAGATGGATTTGTAAATAGCTACATGTTTACAAATCTGTTTTCCTTCTTAAGTTTTGCAGGCATTAGAGGTCTTACCAGTAGCTCCCCCACCGGAACCACGGCAGCTGACAGAACAGGAAGTCAAACAGCTTGAGGAGCAAGAAGAAGATACTCTACGTGAGCTGAGAATTTTTTTAAGAAACGTGACACACAGACTTGCCATTGATAAACGCTTCAGAGCCTTTTCCAAACCTGTTGATTTGCAGGAGGTAACAAGTTTCAGAATAATTTGTTTTCTTCTCTTGTACATTCCGCAATGCAATCGTTGACCATCGTTGATTATATGAAGTTCGAATTCAGTTTGAAATTTGCCAAATGTTGCTATTAGATCAGCGGTCTCCAACCTTTCTTGCTTGATGGGGTGGGAAGTGGGGTGGTGGTGGAAGGGGATGGTTTCGTGTGCGCGGCGTCGCTTTCATAAATGCAGCTTTGTGCACTTGCCCACCACTTCTGCTGCCTGTTTCTGAACGGACTGTGTGATGGCACTGGGCTGTGGACCAGAACTTGGGGGCCCCTGTGTCATAGTTCTAACTATATCAGTTAGAAAAAGTAATGAATGCAGACAAAACGTACGTGAAAATAATAACCTAAATACTGCTCGAGATGAATACTGTAAATGGTAAACTTGATTTTAAAATACCAAAATTTGAGAGTAATTCTGGGATGTGTACATCTTCACTAAAGGCAACAAAAGATCTCAAGATCTGTTAAAAGTGTTCTCTCTGCCTCTGTTGCTTACCATTTGATCAAAACCTGCTTGGCATTTCCCCATCTTTCATTCGCTTGCATTCCTTTCTCTTCCTTTCTGCTTTTACCCTCTGCCTTTGTCTGCTCTCTTATTTGTCTTCTTAGACCTTCTTGTTCATGGGTTGAATGTTTTTCATTTCTCTCTTCTCAAAGGAATCAGGGAAGAAGAAAGGGATTTTGGCACATGCTTTGTATATCTCCTTCCAAAACGTAAATATCAGGACCTTGTATAAGTCTCAATAGAACAACCTGTACATGATGATGAAACGTTATATGCTTGACAGATGTTAAAAATTACAGTGATTTTTGGTCTGGTCCAGCAGGACAGTTACCCAGTTCTGGTTTCTATTTTCTTTCTTCTGTTCTCTTTTATTCAGTTTTATATGTCTTGTGTCAAGGGTGAGCAACTTCCTTGTGATTAGGAGCTGTAGGGATCATAACCAGTGATAAAACGATTCCAATTGAATAGGCAAGTCAAACTCCTATTCTCCCAAGTTGTCATAAGTAACTGGTTACATTTCCAGAACTGTGCAGTTGACTAAATGATTTTTGGTTTGCCCAGCAAAAATTGAATACAAAATAGGACCTTAAAAAGGTAGTTCAAAAGCTTTAATGCCAACATTTTCAGGTATCAACCATTCTTAAAACATACAGAAATGTAAACTTATTTTACTCCTGAAAGGCAGATAATATATTCAGACTTTTTTTTCTTATAATGCTCCTGTAGGTGCCAGACTATGTCACAGTCATCAAGCAGCCAATGGATCTTTCAACCATTATTTCAAAAATTGATCTCCACCAGTATCTGTCTGCCAAAGATTATCTAAAAGATATTGACCTCATCTGTAGCAATGCATTAGAGTACAATCCTGATAGAGATCCTGGAGGTAAGCCTTAATATTAATGCATAAGCAAACTATTATACAGGTAGTCCTCGACTTACGATCACAATTAAGCCCAAAATTTCTGTTGCTAAGTGAGACAGTTGTTATGTGAATTTTGCCCCATTTTTTTTTACTTTTCTAGCCATAGTGGTTAAATGAATCTGGCTTCCCCAATGACTCTGCTTGTCAGAAGGTCACAAAGTGATCACATGGTCTTGAGATGCTGCAACAGTTGTAAGTGTGTAAAACACTTTTTCAGTGCTGTTGTAACTTCGAATTGTCACTAAACAAGCTTTGTAAGTCAAGGACTATCTGTATATTACGTTAAATAATCAGATGTTTTAAAAACCTGCTGTACCCAACTTGTTCTCTTACCAAATTAAAAAAGAAGACGTCAAGAGTAGTGTAACTTGAAGCCTAAATGGTGCTATTAAAAGGTATTAAACTTCATATTAACCATTTATTAAACTTTTTACCAGATCTTTCTGTGGAACTATTAATATTAACTTCATAGCAAAGTATTTTCTTATGTATTTGTTTTAGATCGTTTGATTAGACATAGAGCCTGTTTTCTCAAAGATACAGCCTATGCTATAATAAAGGAAGAAATGGATGAAAATTTTGAACAACTTTGTGAAGAAATTCAGGAATCACGCAAAAAGAGAGGTGGGTTTTCTCACAATTTGGCACATTAAAAAGTTGCAGAATGATTTTAACACTATTATGTTGTATAATAATATATAGCATAACTGTGGTTGGAACAGAGAGAATATACCTGTGTATATTCTGTGTATAAGAAGCATTTTATTTCAGGCTAGAAGACTTAAAGTTGTATCAATAGCAATAGCACTTAGACTTCTATTCTGCTTCACACTGCTTTACAGCCCTCTCTAAGCAGTTTACGGGGTCTGTATATTGCCCCAACAGTCGGGCTCCTCATTTTATCGGCAGAATACTGCATTCTAACCACTGCGCCATCACGGTATCAGATGCCTCTCTGCCCTAATTCCTTTCTTTAGAAATGTGGCATCACCCCCAAATGTATTTGTACACAACCTATTAGAGTAGTTCAACAAAGTGGGTAAAGGATTCTTACAATCTATTGTTACTTTTAAAGGTTGCAGTTCTTCAAAATATGCTCCATCCTATTACCATGTCATGCCAAAGCAAAATACCACATTGCAGGATAAGAAATTGGATTCTGAATGTGGTGACAAGATTAAAAGCCCACC